TTCCTTAAAGAAAAACCCAGGGCTTTTGAAATGATTGAAATTAGCCCAGAAACCTGAAGAATAAAAAAAAAATCTTATTTTTAAAAATATTTTTAATTTAAATATTATTTTAAAAAAATCCTAAGCCCGGCTTTCCCAGCAGTCTTTACTTGGGCTTCAGGGAGATGCAGTGTACAACAAAATTAATTTAACATTGAGCGCTCTCGCCAGCCCGTGATGAGGGAGCTGGCTGGACAGCCTGGCTCAGTTTCTCGTAGCACTGAAATACTTTTTCCAAACCAATACCAAAAAAGGTTCGTTTCTAGGTCAAGACCTCAGTACTAAATTTTAACCAGGGGCTGACAGTCAGATCCGAACACAGCTGTAAAATGGATTCGCAATAGCAGCTCGGACATTCTTTTTCTAATTAGAAAACAGTCATTGAGCCTTGCGCGTTTAAAGGTGAAAGCTATTTTTGACATAAAAATTAGCACGTAGTTCCTCTGTCATCCTTCAGTTGCTGCTCTGGAAGCTGTGAGCGAATGATCCAAAGATAAGCAAGAAGCATAAACACGCTGAATTAAACAAAGAGGCAGAAGGGGATCAAGTTTTAAGTTTTATGCTGCCTGACAATTAGGAGAGGAAGAGATTTATTTTTACACTTACTATTTATCCTAAAAAGCACCGCTAAAAAGGTCCACTTCAGCACTGAGACAGACCTCAAAGGCATTTAAAAACTTGAAGTGCTTTTAATAGCTGCCTTTTGAAAATACTGTTAAATCTATTTTTGAGATGGATAAACTAAGCCGCCAACAAAGCAAGGCAGGAGTTTTCAGAAGGACCCAGCAGGGAAAGCCTGTCGTCCACTTCTTCTCAACGACTCAGCTCCCACACGGGGACCTAAAAAAATCGGAGGGTACTGGGACGCTTTTGAAAACCCGAGCGTTCTTTAAATCCACATTTTCCTTCCTTCTTTCTTTGGTGGGGATCTAACCCTGACAGCCCTGAAAATTAACCCCAGGCAGTTTTCAAAATACGTCTCAAGAGTCGCCGTTTCTAGAATAAAAGTGAGCGAAGAGCGAGCAGAACTTGAGGGCTTATCACCACCAGTAATGCCACCGACTAATCCCTCGGCAACCCCGGCCCCTTTACGTAACCCGGGATTGCTGCAGCTCAAACAGCTTATTGGGTTTTTGGTGTTTTTCTTTAAACCTCTCGTGGGCAAATGCGAACACATGAAATACTTTTTTCTTCTGCCGCTCTGAAGAAAAAGTTATTGTAAGAGGGGGAAAAAATCTTTTTATTTGTGAACAATGGCAAATAAAATTTAACTCGTACGCTGAGAACAACACGTGTTTCTCTCTCTCTCATCCGTGATCTTGACCGAACAGAAATCTCCCCTGTTTACAACACTCGGGTGTCTCCAATGGTGAGACATAAAAGGTCGCATCCCAGATGTCTCCTCACCCCAAACACCCTCTGGGAGCGGTGGAGCGTTCCAAATAAAGGAAAAAAAAAACGTGCCCAAGGTAAACCATTTATACAATTTCCTGGCAGCGTGGGTGGCTGTGCCGTAATACTTGCTTCCCCGTGGCCCGCGTCCCCGCCGTGCCTCGCCAGCACGGCCGGGCACCCAGAGGCTCTCCTTGCCCGGAGGACGAGTTTTCGTGCCACTGAGCTGCCTGCTCTGACTCTCCCCGGCACAAATCCTTCCAAGGCAAAACTCAACTTTAAACCTTGCGGTCGGCGCTAAGCCCTTCGCCTCACGCCGAACGCTTATGGAAACTTAAGGGGAAAAAAAAAAAATAAAACCCCTATTGAACTACTTGGAATCGGAGACCTGAATGGGCTCGATCTAAAACCCACTCAAATCAGCGGCAGCAATAGGCTTCCCTGGATGTTGGACTCGATCCAGCTTAAAAGTTTCCATGCAATAAACTAGGCTAAGCGCATCAGCTGCACAGAAACTAACTCGGTGTAACAGGAGCATCTGTTCTTCACATCCACCATTTTCTTACGGCCTTAACTGCCCGCCGC